AACAAAAAAAAAAAAAAAAAAAAAGTGACTCCATACTCAAACAAACAATCCAAAAATGAAAAAATGAAACAGAAGAGTCCTGAATTTCTTAAAGAATGTTACATCAAAGAGGAAGGACAATCTGGTCAATTATAAGAGGTACTTTTTCAGTTATGCCTCTTTTTTTAGGAAGAAATGACTCAAACATGCATCTTAATAGAATTAAAACTAAAATTTTACTTGCATGAATTGATAAGAGGATTGCAAAATATACCCAGCACTTGCTCATGGTAAAAGTCATAGATCAAATTTCATTTAGAAAGAGTTCTAAGGAACTTGTCTCAATCTTTCCCTCCTATCCTCTGTGGGGCTGGGGATTGAATAGAAGGCCTTGTTCATATCACTGACCAACACCTCCATCCCCCAGTCCCCCCCTTTTTTTTAATGGCAGAAATTTTATGGAATGGGTATTAAATGGTATCCTATGAAGCTTGGGAGTACTTTTGCTATATTGGTTACTTTTTTTTACTGGGACCTATTTGTGGGTCTTTATTGGGTACATTATGGTTAATTCAATACATGTCTACAATGTACCATGTAAACAAATCAGGGTTGTAAGTATTTCTGTCTCTCCAAATTCATTTTCATGTGCTGAGAATTTGTATTCTCCTTCTCTAGTCATTTTGAAATAAAACAGTGTTCTAATATATAGATACCCTACTGTGCTAAAGAAGAAGCAGAAATGATTTTTGCACTGTTTTGGTACCCCTTACTGACTTCTTTCCAATCCCCAGCCCCCTGCCCTCCCTAGTCTCTAATGAACACTATTCCATTACATTCTTCTACAAGGTGTGAGAACATGTGGATTTGTCTTTCTGTGTCTGACTTACTTCAATTAACATAATGACCTCTGGTTCCATCTATATTGCTGCAAATGACAGAATTTTATTCTTTTTTATGGATGAATAATATTCTGTGTACGTGCTACTTCTTAAATCCATTCATTCACTGAAGGGTAGCTGAGTTGATTCTGTATTTGAGCTATTGTGAATAGTGCTGTAATATATAGAGGGGGAAATATCTCTTTGTATAATGATTTCATCTTTTTTGGGTATATATAAACAGTAGTGGGATTGCTTGATTTTATCTGGTAGTTTTATTTTTAGTGTTTTTTAAAAGAAGTAAACAATGTTTTAATAAGTAAGACTGCCATTGTTGTAAGTTGTCATATTATTAAAAAGTTACTTTAAAATGTCAGTTATTAAATAGTCTGTAAATTCACTTATTTATTTATTTATTTATTTTTGGTTTTTTGAGACAGGGTCTCACTGTGTATGTAGTTGAGACTGACCTGGAACTCACTACGTAGCCCAGGCTAGTCTCGAACTCACAGCAATCCTCCTGCCTCAGCCTCCTGAGTGCTGGGATTACAGGTGTGCACCACCACACCCAGCCAAATTCACTTTTTAATAATGCTGAATTCTCTTATAAATATGCAAATGAAACTGTTGGAGACAAAAATGAGGGTGATATTGACTTTGTTAGCACAATTAGCTATTCCTTTTTATTTTTAGTGTTTTAAGGAATCTCCATACTGTTTTCCACAATGTCTATATGAATTTTCTCCACATCCTCACCAGTATTTGTAATGTCTTTTTTTTTTGGTACCAGGGATCGAACTTGGGAACTTGTGCTTGCAAGGAAGGCAGCAGAACCACTGAGCTAAATCCCTGGCCCTGTAATGTTTTCTTTTTGATGATTGTCCTGACTTGCATGGGATGATATCTCATTGTGGTTTTGACTTGCATTTCCCTGATGATTAGTGAGATTAAGGAGCATTGTTTTTTGTGTACTTGTTGGCTGTTTATATGTCTTCTTTTGAGAAATGTCTGGTTCATATAGTGTATTTTTAGTTTTTAGAGACAGGGTCTTGCTACATAGTTCAGGCTGGTCTTGAACTCATGTTGAACCTCCTCTGTCTTAGCTTTCCAAGTGCTATGATTACAGGCATGTGCCAATATGCCCAGGCATAGCACATTTTTAAACTAGATTTTTTTGGGGGTATACATTTTTAGTTCCATGTATATTCTGAATAACAATCTCTCTCAGATGAATAGTTTGTATATATTTTCTACTTTATACATTGACTTTGATTATTTCCTTTGTGGTGCAAAAGATTAATTTGGTATTATCCTATTTTTTAAATTTGTTGCCTTGCCTTTGAAGATCCATCTAAAAATTCATTATCACTCCATTGTGATTTTGTAGAGTAATTTTCATAGTTTCAGTTATAACATTTAGGTCTTTGATCCATTTTGAGTTAATGTTTGTATATGATGAAAGAATCCAGTTTCATTCTTCCATATATGCATATCCATTTATTAAAGAAACCCTCTTTTCTCCATTGTATATTCTTGGTGCTTCTGCCAAAAATCAGTTGGCCGTTTGAACACAGTTTAATTTCTGAGTTCACTATTCTGTTCCGTTGGTCTATGTATCTGGTTTTAATGCCAATACCATGCTGTTTTAGTTACTATGGCTTTGTAATGTTTCAAAATTAGGATCAAACCTCAGCCTTGTAGATACTAGACAACATCATCATCCTTTTTTATTTATGCTCTGATCTTGATTTCTTCTACTAATTTTGAGATTTAGTTTGTTCTGCTTTTATGTCTTGAGGTGTATTTTTTTTTGTACCGGGGATCGAACTCAGGACCTTTTATGTGTGAGGCAGATGGCACCACTGAGTTAAATCCTGAGCCCTGAGGTGTACTTTTAAGATCTATTTTTTTTGGGGGGTACTGGGGATCAAACTTGGGACCTTGCACTTGTGAGGCAGGTGGCGGAACCACTGAGCTAAATCTCCAGCTCCTCTATTTTGTTTTAAATGTATGCTTTTATTGCAATAAACTTCTTTCTCCATACTGCTTTGGCTGTATCTTACAGATTTTGGTATGTTGAATTACCATTTTCAATTTAATTTCAAATTTAATTTTTTATTTTCCTTTTTAACTTTCAATTACTCAGTTATCTAGGAACGTTATTCAATTTCCATGTGTTTGTATACTTTTCATCTTTTTATTGATTTGAAGTTTTAAACTGTTGTGGTCTTAGAACATACACGGTATGATTTTTTTCTTTTTTTGTACCAGGGATCAAACTCAGGACCTTGCACTTGTGAGTCACGTGTGGCACCACTGAGCTAAATCCCTATTTTTTTTTTAAATCTACTGAGATTTGATTGTGGCCTAATATGTTCTATCTTGTAGAAATGTTCCACATAGTGATGAAAATAATGTGCATTCTGCTACTGTTGGATAAAATGTAGGTCCATTTGCTCTATAGTATGATAAAAATCAGATATTTATTGATTTTCTGTCTGATTTGTCATTGAGTAAAGTTAGATATTAAAGTCCTCCGTTACTGTATTAAGAGTCAATTTCTCCCTTTAGATCTAATATTTGCTTTATATATCTGGGTGGTCCCATATAGGTTGCATATATATTTACGTTTGTTATATCTCCTTTTGGAATTTATCCTCTTATCAATGTATGATGACATTCTTTGCCTTTACAATTAAAACTTAATGTCTGTTTTATCTGAGTATAGCTACTCCTGCTTGCTTTTGGTTTCCATTTGTGTGATGTGTCTTTTTTCCAATCCTTCATGGTTAGTCTCTGTGTTCCTTTGTCAGTGAAGTGAGTTTCTTGTAGGCAGAATATAGTGAATCTTGCTTTAAAAAAAAAATCCATTTGCCGAGCTTCTCTCTTTTGGCTGATGACATTAATCCATTTACATTTAAGGTTATTATTAATGTGTATGAATTTCCTCCTGTTATTTTGTTAATTGTGTTCTACTTTTTTTGTATATTTTTTCCTTTCAATCTTTTTGTCATTTAGTAGTAGTTTCCTGTCATGTCATGCTAAGGTTTGTTTCTCTTTTTCTAATTTTTTTTTTTTTTTGAGATAAGGTCTCACTGTGTAGCTCAGGCTGGTCTTGGACTCACTGTATAACTCAGGCTGGCCTCAAACTTTCAGCAATTCTCCTGTCTCAGTCTCCTGAATCCTGGATTTATAGGTGTGTGCCATCATGCCTGGCTCATGTGTTTTCATGGTAGTTATCTTTTCTAGCATAAGACTAAGTATTTTTTTTTTTTTTTAATTTGTTTTTTTTTTTTTTGTTTTTTTTTTCCTTTCAATTTTTTTTTTATTTAGTAGTAGTTTCCTGTCATTTCATGCTAAGGTTTTTTTTTTTTTTTATAGGGCTGTTCTGGTGGTGATTCTATTTTTGCTTATCTGGAAAAGATTTTATTTTTCTTTCATATTTGAAGGATAATTTTGTTGGGTATAATATTCATGGTTGGCAGGATTTTTCTTTTTCTTTCAGTATTTTATTTTATTTTTTAGGTACCAGGGACCAAATTTGGGTCCTTGTTCTTGTGAGGCAGGCAGTGGAACCACTTTTTTCAGTATTTTAAATATGTCCTACCATTCTCTTCTGGCCTGGAAGTTTTCTGCTCAGAAATTGGCTGTATGTTTAGTGACTATTCCTTTTTATGTGACTTGATGCATTTCTTGCTCTGTTTACTATTCTCCCTTTGTCTTCTATATTTGTCATTCTACGTATGTCTAGTGAAGGTATGATTTAATTGAATCTAGTTGAGATTCATTGATTTCCTTGTATTTGCATGTCTATGTCTTTGAAGATTTGGGAATTTTTTTCAACTATTATTTTGTGAAATAGGTTTCAGTGCCTTTCCTCTTTACTTCACTGTCCGAAATTCCTACAATGTAAATATTTGTTTACAGAACAGTGTCCTGTAAGTCTTGTAAGCAGTCTAACTTCTTTTTAATTGTCTCTGACTGGGTTAATTCAAAAGAACTATCCTTAAATTCAGAAATTCTGTCTTCTGCTTGTTCTTGACTGTTGAACAAGCCCTCTACTGTATTTTTCATTTCATTGATTGAAGTTCTTAGTTTCAAGATTTCTGATGGGTTCTTTTATATTTCTATTTCTTTGGTGAATTTGTCACTTTTTCCTCAACAAGGCAAGGTTTTACTTCTGCAGAATGGTGCAAGCACACGCAGGCATGAGGTTGCAGGCATACAGAGAGGATGCAACAGGCTCTTTTTATCCCTAATGAGAAGCAGCTGATCTTTTTTCCTATTGGCTGGGTTGAAGATTCACAATTTATCCTGATTGGCTAGGTTAAGTGGCATGAAAAGAGGATCTGAAAGGTTGCTGGGCAGGGTTGATAAGTGGAAGGAAGAGTGGTGGTATGGGGACAAAAAGTTTCTGGCTATTGATAAGTTATCTTTGGCTGTTAGCTGTGTTCCTGGAATCCAGAATCTAGACTGAACATTTTCTCTAATTCAGTATGTTCAAACAAAGGGGAGGCAGCCTAAAGCCTCCCCTTCAGAGTCCTTTCTTCAAAGTCCATGAACAGAAGTTCACTCTTTTTGTTACGTTCTTCCATCAGAAGCATGTTAGCCGAGTGTGGAGAATTTATCTCCACTTTGCCATTAGGTCTATAGTTTTGGTAGTCAGGAGCAAGGGGCTCTCCCTTGAGGAAGGGACCCTCCTAGGCTGATCCAAGTTTGTCCTCTTTTTATGAGTTGATCAACAAATAGTTCCCAGACTGGTGTGGATAGACTGGAAAGTCAAGTGGTAGGGTTTGAGCTAAAAGTCCCTTTTGTCTGAGGGAATGACAGTGAAAGCCAAGCCAAGCACATAATTTCTTAAGAATTGATCTTTGGCTTTAAAAGTGGGCACATTAGAAGGCCTGCTTTTCATGCAGAATTTCATACAGAGATAACCCAATGTCTTTTTGGGGGAGCTGTCCTAAATCTAAGTAAAGCAATGGGAAGACATTTGATCCATGGTAACCAAGTTTGGTTTGATGAGTTTTAAGAGTTTGGTTCTTCTGTTTTATTTAATCAGAGGAAGAGTGCTAAGGGATATGGTATTTCCAAGTTATAACCAACTCCCTATAGTGGCCCCTAACTACTTGAGCCATGAAGTGGCTCCCATTACCTGAGTCTATGCTTTTAATTATTCCAAATCTTGGAATTATCTATTCTAACAGGGTTTTTATTGCATTACCTGCTGTTGTACAAGGTAAGAATAAATAAACTTTAAAGCACATATGACCAAAGCATGAGCATTGGAATAGGAAAGTAGATTGGGGAAGAAGTCACATCCAAATACTGTTTTTAAGTGATTGGAATAGCAATTGTAACCAGCTGGCTCTTAGAACTGTTTTTAGGTATACCAGAAACTGTCAACAGGGATAAGTAACTGGAGCCCCTTTTTTGATGTTTTGCCTATATTATTATTATTACTTTTAATATATTTTTGATTAACATTTTTTTTGGTGTCTAAGACCGACTTAAGTTAGACCTGTGTTAATCAGAATTAACCTCTTATCTACCAAGGTCAATCAAGGCTTCTCAGGCATTACTTTTGGAATCATGTGTAGAGCCTCTCAGCTCCTCTGTCAGTTTTAGGTGCTAGGATGATGGATCATGGCCTTGCTTGACCATATGGCTTCCCATGGAAGTGTAGACCTTTTTTTTTCTCCTGGTGACCCTCCTTTTTAGCACACCATACATTGATTGACTTTTGTCCTCTGTGGTCCAACAATCTCCCTGTTCAGGAGGTGGAGGGACCCACCAAAGTTCTAGGGTTTTGAAAAAAAGGGTTCCCTCTTATCCTGGGTTTTGTTGACTGAAGGCAAGAGCCAAAATATTGGTTGTCCTCTTAGCCCGGTTATGTTTTAAACTTGGTCTCCAGTTGTTGAACACACAGGAGATCAGTTATCTTACCTAGGTATCAAGCTCCTTGAAATATATAAAGTATGAACATGGAGCTGTTATTTTCTTTCCAATTATATTTCTTAGAAGTTGAATCCCAGCAGGGAATTTCTCATTCATAACCTGAATTGTTTTTCTCATTTCCTTGTATTGTTTCTCTGTACTGTCTTCCATCTCACTGTTGTTAGGATCACCATTTGAATTTTTTTTCAGGCATCTTACATAGACTTCCTTCAAATTAGAATCTTTCTGGAGAAGTTGTTTTTCTTTAGAAGTTTCTATTTCCTTTCATATTTCTTGTGTCCTTATGTTGTTGGGCGTTTGAAGAGCTGTTGAATGTTTTTGTGGAGCTCTGGGACCCAGATCATACCTTTTCCTGGTCCCAAGGGACAGGTATAAGTGAACTAGGGCTTTTGGCATCAGTTCTGTGGTTAGAAGTCTGTGGATTGTAGAGAAGAAGTTCTGTAGGTGGGTTTAGTACAGACAGTCCTGTGGCTGTGGCTTTGGTACCAGGGTAGGAATGTCACTAGGTCATGCAGGGCAGCCAGCTCTTGTGGAGATGAGGCGTGTGGCAGTGGTAGGTGCAGTCCTGGAGCTGAAGAACATAGATGGGCACTTCTTCTGGTTCCCAGGGAGAAGCTTAAGTGAAGACAGGGCTTTTTGTACCGACAACTGTGGTCCCAAGTTTGGGCTGGGAAGGAGACTTTGCCTAGATCGTACTTTGTGACTGCAATTGTCAGCAGGGGTTGGCCCCCCTGGCAGCTGTGTTCTTGGAGCTATTGGCTTACTTGGGAGCTTTCCTAGCCTCAAATGGATAGGTGTGAGTGAAGTAGGACTTAGCAATAGTGGCTGTAGTTCAAAAGTTGTGGGCTTGGGAGACCTATCATAGATCTCATGGGACAAAGGTGAGTGGGACTTAGGCTTGTAACTGTGGCTGGGCAGCCACTGGTCCTGAAGCTGCAGAAATCTGGGAAGCAATTTTCTGGCCAGTGAAATGTGCACCAGCCCAAGGCTCCTGACACTGTGAAGTATTTGGCCACAGGCCTATAAACTAAGATGGCATATAGGAGTGGCGGCTGTGATAGTTGAGTTTTGGAGTTCGGGGAAGGTCCAAAGTCAGTGTCTTCTTTGACAGAGAAGTCACTTTTATACTAGCCAGATCTACAAGCTGGATTTATAGCTTGTAAAGACTGGAATTTTCCAGCAGTTAGGACTGCCAGCCTGTTTCTGGCACTTTCCTGGTTAGCTTATGCTGGGTTGATCCCACTACTTCCCTTTGTTGACTGGGAGCCAGGGCTGAAGTTGCAGATTACTTTGTTGTTTTCAACTCTCCGTGCTATTTTGGTTCTCATCACCCATTTACTAATTTCCAGAGGTTTCCCTCCCTCACTTTGCTTAAAATACAGGTTCTCCTTTTTAGCCTTGACTCGTCTCTGTGACACAGTCATGGCAAGGCTCCTCTGTTCAGCCATCTTAGTTCACTCTTTTTTTTTGGTACAGGGGATTGAACTCTGGTCCTTGGGCTGGCAAGGCAGGCGGTGGAACCACTGAGCTAAATCCCCGGCCCTTAGCTCACTCTTATTATTCTTAATAAGTTTGTATTTTTCATTAGAAAAGCTATCACAAAAATAAGATTTAGTTTCTATTAAAAATTAATTTCTAGCTAGGAGAAAACTATTTTTTTGTTTTATGTTTTTCTATTTCTCTTTTGTTGCTCTCATATTCCTACTCACTCCACTCTGCTGCCAGTTGCAAGTCTGATGTTGTTCTTTCCTTTTGCCCCATTACATCTACTTTTGGATTTTTCAACTTTCAGTTCCTCTTGGGTGAGTACTGTGAGTGCTATAGTACTTTAATAACAACTAGGACTGCATACTTACATTTATTTCATAGGATCCGGGCAAGAGAAGTAGATAATATTCTCCGAATTTGTTGGTTTTAAATGGGCAGATATGTTTTCTATCTTGGACTTCCACAATTATATTGGGTAATGGATTTCTATTCTGATCAAAAACTTGACCCTTTATACCTGTGACACAAAAAAGAAAATTGAGTGTAAACACATGATATATGAAAAATTCTTGTCATTGTTTAAGAAAATATGCCTTTTTTTTTTTTGAGACAGCAGGGTCTTGCTGTGTAGTCCAGGCTGGCCTTGAACTTTAGGCAGTCCTCTTGCTTCAGCCTCCTCATTGCTTGGATTATAGTACTGTACCACCATGCTGCCCTATTTTTATTAGCTATTTTGAGTTAAAAAGTGTTAGAGAAAAGAAAGTATTTTTGTTGACTGTAAATTAGTCAAGCTACTATTCTGATTGCTCAAATTTGCTACTTGCCAAATATTCCATTTATAGCATCTCATCAAAATGAGAGAACAGAGATGATAACCTAAGACCCATCTTATAATTTCCAGTTGTTTGCTCAGTCACCAAAGTGTACTGCAACATACCATTAGTGGATTCTATAAAATCTTAAACAAAAACAATGTAATTGTTTACAAGATATTTATTTACACAAGGGACTCAACAGTTTTGTCTCATGGTCAAGCAAACTCTAGGAAGAAAATTTATAAACATAAGGTTGCCTGAAGCATGGAATTGCTTGATGGGATCGCATTATTATTAATAACAGGAACTAACATTTACTGAGCACTTAATCGGGCTCTTTGGGAAGTGTTTAATGTGCATTTTTCTCATTGAATTTTCACATCACCTATAAGGCAGACAATGTTATTCTCACAATTCTACAGGGCTTGGTGTGCATCTCAGCGGTAGGGTGCTTGCCAAGAATGCATGAGTCCCTGGATCTGATCCTCAGCAACACCCACCCCACCATACAACAATAGCAACATTTTGCAGCCAAGAAGGGTAAGGCTTTGGAAGTCACAAGCCAGAGGTAAACCCATAATGAGAGCCCACAATGAATTGGTGACCTCGCTCCTTTCAAAGTTTCAAGAGTAAACATCTTTTTTGTGGTCTTACTGGAGACCAAACAGAGGGCCTTAAACATTCTATGCAAGTTCTCTACCAATGAGCTCTACCCCCCACCCTGTGTCTCATTTTAAAGCCTAAATTTCACAGTCCAGTTTGTTCATTCCAATAACAAACCAGGCTACCTTAAGGTGTTTTTTTTTTTTTTTGGTACTGGGGATTGAACTCTGGTCCTTGCGCTTACAAGGCAGGCCACCGAACCGCTGAGCTAAATCCCCAGCCCAGGCTACCTTAAGGTGTTTTTTTTTTTTTTTGGTACTGGGGATTGAACTCTGGTCCTTGCGCTTACAAGGCAGGCCACCGAACCGCTGAGCTAAATCCCCAGCCCAGGCTACCTTAAGGTGAAGGTGTCTAAGTTCCATGACATATATGAGAAACCACAAAAACCACAATAAGATACCTTAAATTATCCTCAAATAGTTAAACACAACAATTATTAGAAAAATATGAGGCACACATTAATTTCCTCCAGAAAAATTAAAATGAAAAAAAGAAGGTTCTGACATTTAGCAACAAATTCTTTAGCTTGATCATTAAGCAAACTTCTGACCCAAGTTGCTTTTTATTTTCTTTCCTGTTCAGTTATTTAATCTTCACCCATCTCCCTGAAAATGAATTATTAAATGCTGTATTTCTCTCGTTCTCAATACAAGTCAACTATATAAACCTATTTTCATGTAACTTGTCCTTCTTTTGCCTTTTTTTTCAAAGTCCTACTTTTATTTATTTCTACTATTTGGTGTGCTGAAAAAGACCAATACCTCTGAAAGAGCTATCAGTAGGGGAACAAAAAATAATACATATATTTTTTGGTACCGGGGATTGAACTCGGGCCCTTGTGCTTGCAAGGCAGGTGGCGGCACCACTGAGCTAAATCCCTGGCCCAAAAAATAATATTTTAAAAGTTCAGATAATAAAGAAAGGAGCAGACATGAAACCTGAAGCTTAAATTCTGGCCATACCTGGAGATGTACTGGGAAAGGTTAAGCCTTCCTTCCCTCAGAAATGTATTACTTCATGAATGGAGAGTCCCTGCTGGTAAGAACGAATTCCGCGTCTGTAGGCAGTTCAGTGAGCACCAGGACAGTACTTGGGAGTCCATGCATGTCCATGCCTTGGTTTGATCCCCAGCATCTAATGACCACAGTTCCACTTGTTGCAGATCTGGTATGAGATCTACATCTGTGTGCCAGAGGCTTCTGGAACTCAGCCTGTACCATATTCTCCTAGGGCCCAGTAGCTTCAGTAGGCTGGGGTGTGAGCCATTCACTCGACCACTGGGTTTGGATCTGCCTTGAAGAGTCCAGGGGAGACAGGGCAGCAGCAGGTAACACTGTCTTGCTCACCTTTCTTGTCTCCAGAGGGTGACAAGCAGGACAGTCTAGCACTAGACATCTAATGTCTACAGACACCCTTATCCTAACACACACCTAGTAAATCCTCTAAGAATGACACACAGTACCACAAGCCTGAGTTTAAACAGATATGCAGAGTTCTAAATAAAAGCATAACCCCATGGGGCCTTAGAACAGAGTGATGTGAAGTAGCACTGATGCTATTAATCCCACTCTGTTGACTAAGCTGAGGGTCAGACCAAGTGCTTGTTCAGTGTTGCAAACAAGACAGAGGATGAAATAGCCTGGATCTACCCAGGCTCCTGTCTTAATGGCCGGACTTCTTCTAAAGCAGAAAGCCCTTATGTGTTCAAGGCCTTGGTTTGATACTCCCCACTGGGGAAAAAAAAAAAAAAAAAAAAGTAGATTTTCCCAAACAAGGCAGGTCAGGGACCTAGAGACATCAGAATCGTCCTTGCAAGTAGTAAAATATAGATTGACAAATATCAATAATTTTCTTAAACTAGAGCAACACCAAACATGGGTTCATCTGCTTCCATAATCTACCTCATTTTAGCTCCTTATTTGACACCAAGGAGAGAGAAATTTTTTATTAAGTGATGATAATCATACTTCACCAGCACTTAGAAATACGGTTTCATTATTAAACCACGGAAAATGCCTCCCTTAAACCACAAGGGGGCAGGATTGGTATAGACTGGCAGATGAATATTCTTCATATAACCTAGTGTAAATAAACTCGTAAACCCTCCAAATTAATCATAAAAATATTTATGCTGCAATGTCTGTGTTATTTATCAGTGTACAAACTCCTTCACTGACAATATTCGATCAGCATGACTCTTCACAGCCCACTTTCATTCAGAGCTTGGCAAGTACAGTCATGTTTACAGCTAGATTGAAATTCTGAAATTAGGAGTGCAGTTACAAGAATATATTTCACGTTCAGTTGCATTCTCATGTTGATACCGACGAAGGATGAATTTCAGGAAGGAATAAGCAAAGCAACACATTAAAGGATCAATGTGGGTAGAAATACTGTAGAACGGTTAAGTTTATACATGCTTTTTTTTACAGCTGCCTGCTGCCCCCGTTGTTTATATAGATCCAAGCATTCTGGTATTATGGCAACTCAGATAATCTCGCGGTTAACAACTTTAACACTTGTGGTTTCTACTGGCACTGGAGATGTCATTTTTAGGTCAATGGCTGTGGTGGGATTGCTGGGTCAAGGTGTGGTAACTGCCGCCGGGCCTTACCACCGGGCTGGTCTATTCTGCATTTTCACTACGCACACCTGGCCCTTCAGAATCTAACCAGCAGAGTATTAGTGTGGTGTCTGAACTGTCACCAGTATAATGATGAGAAATGCTATTTCAGTGTAGTTTTAATTTAGTTTTTCTTTTCTTTGTTTTTTTGTTTTGGTTTTTTCAGACAGGGTCTCACTATGTAGTTGAGGCCTACCTGGAAGTCACTATATAGCCCAGGCTGGTCTCGAACTCACAGTGATCCTCCTGCCTCAGCCTCCTGAGTGCTGGGATTACAGGCGTGCACCACCATGCCTGGCTCCCCATCTACTTTTAACAGATGAAAAATGTTGGTGTGAAGTGTGCAAGAATTTGTTTTGTTTTGTTACCAGAGATCGTATTTGGGACCTTGCGCTTTCGAGGCAGGCGGCAGAACCACTGAGCTAAATTCCCAGCCCTCCTGTGCAAGAATTTGAGTAGTTCATGTACCAAATGTCTACACACCCTCTGTGTGGCTCAGTGTGGTAGAGAACTAATGTGACAGTTCCCATGATGGAGAAAGAAACATTGGCATACAGGAGAGCCTTCAACGTCCTGCCTGAAGAGACTCTGACTGCCTAAGAAACCCGAACTGCACAGGCTTCCATCATCTCAAGAGTGTGTTTCTCTAGTGCCGTGGTTTTCTTAGTGTAGACCCTGGGCCAGCAGCAGCATCACCTAGGCAGATGCTAATTTAAGCCCCACTAAATGAGGCGCTCGGGATGGTCCTGAATCTGTCTCAACAAACCTCTGGGCCAGCCCCTGCGGAAGTGTGAAAGCTACCACTGTCTGCCAGGTTGAGTTCGTCCCTCTGTGGCACAGGCTGGACAGCCTTCAGGAAACAGGCTGAGAAGACTCCAGCCAGGACATATGGCAGAGGGGAGGACCGAGTGGGATTCAAGCTAATGGTGCTAGGTTACCACCCAATTCTGTAAAAGCTGTGCAATGCTATCACCAGTGTTCTCAGGGTCTGTGGTACTGAATGGCAAGTGACAAGCATACTTGGCTTTTTTCTAGTTGGAAGAGATCTAAAAAAAAAGTAACAACCCAGTTTTCTTAATCTTTTACCAGAGTTCCAGATCATTCAACATATAACAGAGCTACTCCAGATTTTTGTACCCCCAAATTCAGTTGACATGCAGCATATTTTCTCTTCTATGAACCGAATGGGTGCTGCAAAACTCACACACAGCAGACCCTCATATTTTTTGTTTGTTTTTCGAGACAGGTCTCATTATGTATTCCAAACTGGCCTCAAACTCTAACTGCCTCAGCCTCCTGAGTAGGAATTCCAGTTGTGTGCCACCATGCCCAGCTTCAGACAGAATTTTTTTTCCTTCTTTATTTTTCTGGTACTGGGGATTGAACTCAGGACCTTGAGCTAGCCAGGCAGGTGAGGTGCCACTGAGCTACATCCCCAGCCACCAGAATTTTTAACTGTGAGTTCTGGTTTTTAAAATGAGGCTGTACCTAGAACCCATTAATAAAGGCCTGCATATGCACAACCAAAGACTATATTTTGTGTTAAGGAATTAATAAGAAAGTTTTACAAACCTAGGTGCACCTGTTTTATATATTCAATTAACGAGGCTTTATTATCATTCCAGAAGTATGGAAGCCTTTCCTCACGAGGGTATTTACAGCATGACAGCTCCAGTGTAATTTCAAAACACTGGGCCCAGACGTAGTTGTAATCTTGCATTCCACCTAAAAAAGAAGCATATTTAATTTTTGTTAAGGTCGCCAACTGGAGTGGAGCCAAGTATCACATACACTGGGGACGGGTGAATGAGACAGTTGCAAGGAAAGTATACACAGACCTGTAAAGGCTGAAAGTGACATATCAGCATCTACAATCAGGGACTGACATTTTATTACCCGGCATGAACAGGCCATACTAAGTATTCCCATATGGGTAACTGGATCAGGTGGACTGAAGGTCAACTGTGCACCAACATTGTGAGCGGGGGGTGAAGGGCGGGGAGGGACAAGGGGAAAAAATGAGAACCAAGACCTGTCATGTAGAGGCACAAGATCCCAGTGATGAATGTAGCTGTACTGTATACCTAAAATGTACCAGTAAACACAATGAGGAAAAAAAAATTAAGTGAGTGGTAGGGAATGGGTCTTAAAAATTTTTTTTGAAATCCTACTTTACAGATTATAATTTCTTCTTTAAATTACCTTTTATTTTTTAGTTTCATGATGGGTTTAAGACTTTTAAAATGAGAATATTAGTTATAGACTAGTAGGCTTTATTTGAGCATGTTCATAATGCGTGTAACATACTCTGATCATACCCCCACTGCTCCCCACCTCTTCCCCTCTCCTCTATCCTCCCCACCCCTTTCCTCTCACAGTCTCCCTTCTACTTTCCTATCCTATCCGTCTCTTGTCTGTCTCTCCTAGATTCCTCATATGAGAGAAAACATGTGGTATTGGACTTTCTGAGTCTGGCTTATTTTGCTTACATGACAGTCTCCAGTCCCATCCATTTTCCTGCAAATGACATGATTAAATTACATTTTAAATGGATATAAACTAGAATAAGGTTTTATTTAAAGTATTTCCATAAACCATTTATAAACTCAATTATATAAAGCAAAGTACATTAGTTATTAAGAGAATAATAATGTCCAACGTTTACTTAGCACTCACGATAGCTAGATACTGTTGAAAGCACTTTGTATCAACTCATTTAGTCCTCAGCAATTTTTACCCTTGTACGGGGGAAGAAATAGAACACCAAAGTTAGGCTCACGTCCAGGGATTCCCACCCTTGGTGGCAGATTCTGGGATGGTCCATCTTTCCTGAGCCCCCTGTGCTCTTATCCATCCTGCCAAGGTGCTTCTGGGGGTCAGAGAAGAGGTACCACAGCCTCTTAGGAGGAAAAAAAGACCTCCATGGCCCCTGAAGTGGCCAACTCTCACACTCCCTTACCTCTGAAGACCCTGTTTTTAAAGGGTTATAATTATTTCATAAGATGTAAAAAAATTTTTTAATATATTTTTGTGGTACTAGAGGTCAAATATAGGAGCATTCTACCACTGAGCTATGTTACCAGCCCTGTCCTTAATGAAACAAAATTATGTAACAAAATAATCATAGAATACCAATAGTTAATACACTGTGTATCATGATCTTAAAGAAATGGCAAAAATGTTGTTCAGAGTACAAGTCAAAGGCAAAAAAATCCTCTCTTACAAAGAATAAACAAAAGGACACAACTGTCTTTTCAATTTTTTTTTTTGAGACAAGGTCCCAAAAAATATTCTAGGTTGGCCTTGAACCTGCAGTCCTCCTGCCGTGGCCTCCCAAGTAGCAGGCAGGTACCACCACATCCAGCCTTAGATATTCATAAATCTGAACTGGTATGTATCTTAAATTTTAGCCTAAAAAAAATCATGTATTTAGCTGAAAACATTTTTTTTTCTTTCCTGGTGGTATACTGCTTTATAATAAGTGGCATCTTGGATTTGATAGAATATAGGAACTTTGAAGTAAGTAAATTTTAATCTGTTACACTTGATATCTGCCCAAGAAAACATTCTCAAGTCTATCAGGTATCTTAGAAGTACTAAAGTAGAAAAAATGGTCAAAACTTTATGTCAAGATATTAATATTAAGCAATATCTTTACAGGCCCAGTTTCGAGCCAGGAAGAATTTCTCTGTCCTTACTATTTCCTTTACTTACCTTATAAGTTTTGTATTTCTCTCTGAACTCGTGTTCACTAAAAAACAGAACGAAAAAGGAGAGAAAACAAAACAGAGCCCTCAGAGCTGGCTGTATCTGAGTATAAACAATTTAAACAGCAAAATAGGTGTGCACTAAGGGTCCCTGGCAAAGTATTTGGGGTTGAAAATGCCAAGCATGGAGTGTGTCCCCAGTTCTGGACAGGACCAGTCAGGCTGGGCCAGCAAACTTGCAGGTGGCCAAGACGCTTGGCTCTGAACTGCTTGAGCCAGCTGGCTTTGCTTGCATTTTTCCTGAAGATACACAGCTCTCACATACACACTTGGGAACAATTTCCAACAGCAACTGTGGGCTTTCAGCTAACTTCTTACACATCTGGATTTGTCCTGGATGTTAGAGAGTGCTCATGAAGGAGAGCCCTGCTGCTGGGCAGGGGGGCCCTTCCCTAACCCCCAAGCAGAGACTGGAACCCTCAGGTGGGATGGGGCTTATCTGGGTGGCAGAGAGAGGTCTGGATGGTGGGGTGTCCAGCTGGCTCTGCTGTTTCTATGCCATCGATTGTGGTCTGTGACTGTTTACATTGTCTGAACATTGGCAGGGAGCCACCAGACACAAAAGCACCAGCTTGTGCAAGATTACTTGACAGTCTGTGTGTCCCAAGTGCCAACGGGGAAAGGTGCCTTTGGAAGCAGCCTGTGTGCAGACATGCAGACTGCAGCTTGCTGTCTGTGGGCCTGGAAGGGATGCCTTTCGGTTCCAGCTCACTGTCCTTGCATGGCTGTTCCACCTGGAGTCCTTTCTAACATTTTTCAGTTGAGTACGAGTTTTAGACACCTATAGGCTCCTGTTTATATTATTCCTTCAGATAAAAATACCCTTCCATTCACATTCTCTGTGGCAATGTCACCCTTGCCCTTACCTGGCCTCCCTACTCCATGGATGGAAAACTGTGTCCTGCCTGGAAGACAGTTTAGTCTGGAAAATATCTTTGCACAGCTGCATGGCAGTAACTGACTGGATATAAGCAGCAGGTGTCCTTATTAGCTGGGACTTAAGCAGTGCATTTCTCCAAGGTCTTTATTCCTCCCTACTATGTTTTGTCTTTATACTCCTATGGGACACTGTACCTTTTCCAAATCTCCATTTTTATTCTAATTTTACTGCTATCGCTATTTACATTGTTTTGTTTGCTTTTTTGAGATAGGATCTTGCTCTGTAGTCCAGGCTGACCTTGAACTTGCAATCTTCCTGCCTCAGCCTCCCAAGTGCTGGGGTTACAGGTGTGTACCATCATTCTCAACTTCACAATTGTTTCTTCGCATTAAACTTGAGGGTAAGATTTGTGTCTTGTTCATTTTTCTCTATCAGTTTCTGGCTCACAGGAGGCAGATTCTGTAATTTTGGAATGAACGAGGAGCCACGGGCAGTGAGGACCATGTCTGAGCACCTGTCTCCCAAGCTATCCATCCCCGCCACTGCTCTTCTGATATTAGCTGGTGGAGATGTGACTGAGGAGCTGGGTTGTGCCTAGAGGACTCTTTGACAACTGCTGGGTCAAGATAACTCAGCTGGCACCTTGGGGTGAAGGCAATATGGAAGAGAGGCACCCACCTTGGAGTGGATACCAAGAGTATCCATTTGTAACTCCGTTGTGAAAGTTCATTTTATTTTTACACGGATCTGGTTTCGTCATGTTTGGATTTCTTGAAGCATAGGTATGTGCAAGATGTTGAAAAACATCATCATCCGGAGTTAAGCTTCGTGAGTGTGATGTTCCAGTTGCTACATTTGAAAGATAAACCAAGACCATTTGGTTGACTTTAGAAGAGGCAACACACAACACCATATTAGCAAATATTCAATCACATCAGTAACAAATACTCTTATTTCCCTAAAAGGAAACTGTTATGGTTTAGATTTGAAATGTTCCCCCCAAATTCTTAGATGTGGAAGGAGATTGGATCACGGAGCTGCCATCTCAGTAGTGGATTAATCCACTGGTGAATCTATAGCTGAGTACACCAATGTGAGGTGGGTTGTGGCTGGACGTGGTGGGTCCCTGGGTGTGTGACCAGCTTTCCTCACCCAGGTCCTTTCCTCACCCAGTCCTTCTGCCTTGGAACCTTTCAAACATGAACTGAAACTTCTGAAAACTGTGAGCCAAAATAAACCTCTCCTCCTCTAAGTGACTAAGACTGACATCTACCCACTTCCATGAATGTTCCTTCTACTTTTTTTCCCATTTTTAATGAAGATATATGAGAACTCACAAAATAAGTTAGATAGATATGCAAACTCCTAAATGAGCTTAAGTAAGAATTAAATATTCACTCAGCCCAACTGCCCATCAACTAGAGACTGGATAAAGAAGATGTGTTTTTTTTGTTTTTTGTTTTTAACAAAATGGAGTACTACTCAACCATAGAGAAAGAGAAACTAGAGATTTACAGCTAAGTGGATGCACATTGAGGCCATACTCTTAAATGAAATGAAGAGGACACACGTGTAAATACCGAGTAGTTTCTCTGGTGTGAAAAAGTAAAAGTGTAAATAAGGATCAAAATGTATAATTGATATTGTGTAGTAGGAAGGAAAGTCTAAAAGAGTAGGGGAAGTGGGAGGGGTAGGGGAGAGATAAAAAAGTAAAAGAAAAAATACATGAAAAGGAAAAATATGGAAACAATTTTTTGTAAACAGGGTGATGGGAGGGCTGGGGAATGGGGAAAAATAAGAACCAAGACCTGTCATGTAAAGGTACAAGGTCCCCAATGATGAATGTAACTGTATTGTATACCTAACATGTACCAATAAACTTAATAAAGATAAAAAATTAAATATTCACTTAGTTACTCTTGCTAATTTCTGGAGGTCAGTAAACTTTCCTTCAGTGTAGGGATTAAAGGAAGTCACTATAATATTTTAAGTCCTATACATTCTGAATCCCACAGAATTTTAAAAGGAGTCAATAATTATTGTTCATATGATTAATAAAAGTAAATTGTTCTGGATTTATTTTCTTTTAGCCATGTTATTCTTGTAAAAGTATCTAAATCTGATTTCACTATTTCACTGATGAATAGCCGGAGGAGACCAGCTGGGAACTGCACTGAATAGGCTTTAGATATTATTGATTTGGCTTGTAATTCAGCTATTGATTAAGATTATGAGTTGCTCCGAGGCCTCAGTGTGAACTGCTAATTGATCTTTCGGCTGGTG